ATGATCAGTAAATTCCATTATAATCCAACAAATACAATTATTTGCTTGTGGGCAATTGGTCTAGGCCCATCACATGACAGAATATCCCCTAGCTAAAACTGGGGGATATGCAAGAATATACCTCAAGTGATATTCCCCAATTTTCAAACCTTACATCTAAAATGGAAAACTCTGTGTTTATAGATTTGATTCAAGATGAAGAGCGTTGCTATAAGAGGAAAATGTTTCTTTTGTTCACGAAATCATTTCAGAGAACACTGACACACCATAAACAGTAGTCGGTTCATTAACATTAATTTTTTCTTGTGTTGAAAAATATTTGAAGGATAATAAACATAAAAAATAATATCCATTATATACTGAGCCAAAAAAATCAGAATTTCAGGCAACCAAAATTAGACATCTCTTCAAGACAGATTTATAGGGTAATATCTTATCATCAGTATATATCAAGAAGCAGGTGAAGGGGGAAATTATAGAACGGAACTGCAAGATGTTGGAGACTTGCTCAGCAAATGTTGATAAGCTGAACAAAACAACAGCATCATTAGTTCAAAAAAGATAAATAAAAGAGAAAAAAAGATGCAAATCTGGTGGTTTGTGGGGATCACAGTCCCAGAGGACTACTCATAAAGGCCAAAAATACTTTTAACAGTCCAAACAAAAACATTCTCTGTAATATACTTCCACACAAAATAAAAAAAAAAATGAAGAATCAAAGGAAGGTGAACAATTTAAGCAGTTGCTAAAATAAATTACAAATAATAACTGACTTTAGATATAGAAAACAAAATAAAGGAGAGCAAAAGACACTAACAAATGTTGTACCAGATCCAGGGAGAAACAGCTGGTTAAAGACAATAGGGAATGATTTAAAGCGAATGAGAAAAATGATAAATAAATCAGAATTAATAAAATTTACAGTAAAGAACTTATACAAAATAAGTAACTTGAGCAAAAAAAAGTAACAGACAAACAAACAAACTGACCATATAGCTTTCTTCACCCTTTTACTTCCAAGATCTGATTGTTAGTTCTCCTCTCTTCCTGTTACATTTTTCCTGGTAAATTAGGAACAAGGATTCAGTGTGAGATCAAGATGACAACTTTGACATGATAAGTCTGAGTATTCTCATTTCCTGTTTGCTGAAAAATGTATACATATTATATGGAGAAGTTGCATATTAATCACCTCTGGGAGTTTAAGGGTTAAAAAAACTCTTACAAAATTCTGCAAAGCCTAAAATATAGGAAACTTAGGAAAGAAAAATTAATCTTATGAATGGCTAAATTTTTTTAATTATAAAAGAAATAGATGAAAGTAACAGACTTGAAAACAAAATAGCTTAGTAAAAATGCAATGGAAAGAAAAACTATATGAATTTAAAATAAATTATGTCAATGTGATTTTGGCAGCAAGAAAGCATTTCATTCATCTCTTAAAAAGTTTCCTTCTTTCTTTTAATTAAGTCACATAAGGGGGCAAAATTTTAGAAGACCACACCCATTGAACAGTTAAGTTACTCTCTGTAATCCCAAAGTGCAGTAGCAAAAAAATCTTCCCAGAGATCACACCACCATAGTGCTTTAACAGCTGACATGTGCCCTAAATCTTAAGTGTTACTCTTTTCACTCCTTTATCACACGGCGACCATTTAATAAGTTGTCATCAAAAATAAAATATGACTTTCACTACAATTTTTTTTGTTTCATTTCAGTGGTGAAGCAAAGAATCCATTCTGCTCTTAATTAATTTAACCACAAGTTGCATCATGCCGAAGGGTAAATCGAAACAAAATAAAGCAAAACAAAGTACAATAAATAAAAAAAAACTAAAGATAAATTTTTCCTGAAGAATTCACTTTAAGCAGCAACAACATGTAACTGCTATTTTTCCGTGGAGAAAAACATATGTAAATCCTTAGCATTATGTAAGCCTAATTAAAAAGAAACAAACCAAACCTCACGTGCCTTCGATGTCTTTTTTTATTCTAGGTTTAAAATAACTTTCCTTTTGAGTAATTTGTCACGATTAAGATTAATACGAGCAATGTTCAGAAAAAGAAATGTAAGCATAAACTGGAACAATCCCTTGCTACAACCACCAAGTCTTGGACAATCTTGAAGCTGACTTTGTCTAAACGTACATATACTTGTGCGTAGTGAACACGATGAGTCGACTAAAATCTTACCTCTATTTTACAATCAAGCCTGAGATTCTTCTGTAATCTTTTCCCTATAAGCTAATTATTTCATTTTCCTTCGTCCACCATCTTTAAAAACACGCAATGTATCATGGAACGAGGCGGAAATGAATTGGGCTACAACCGGAAGTTGGGAATCACTTGTCTTTGTGATTCGTTCTAGCAGACAATCAAACAAACAGACCTTATAGCTTTCTTAAACGCGCTTACAAAATTCTGCAAAAACCAAAACATAGGAAACTTAATGACGAAAAATATTATGAAGGGTTGATTTTCTTTAAGTTTTGTCAGTTGTCAATTAGTTGCGAAATTTATTCTTCTCAGAGCAGGATTTCGCCTGTCTCGAGGCAAAACCGAAACAAAACTGAAACAAGGTTGTGGCAGATGGAAAACTTTTTCTAAAGGCATGGTCCATCGAATAATTGCCACAATTGCAGTAAACTTGGTGTGAAATGCTTCTGTGGCAAAAAACTTTTCATCCTGACTTCGTTTGCCCGGTTGTTGAATTTATGAACGAACCGTCACAAAATCGCGACATTGATATCTGTTGTTACTAAGCCCGTCTCAGTATCGGCCATCTAAGGCAAACTCCGCCCTTTCCTTCTATTTCTGGAAAAACGCATCCTTGCTGCAACCATTTTCCAACGATCTCAATTATTTTTGCAGCTAACCCTATTATCTTTGTGTTTAATTCGGCTTCTCGGAGCCATTGTCTAAGATATTGGCCTTTATACTATACACGTTCTTGTATTCGCAAAAAAAAAAAAAACCGACATTTGAAAACAACGACTTTAGCGCTTGAGGCGACTTCAGTGTTAGCCCAGCTACGTTTTATCATTCCTTGAGGATTTTAGTTCTAGTAGCCCAATCAAATTTTGTGCACAGCCCATGCATCAAATCTATGAAGTAAAATACTGTATCCTTCCTCATACTAGTTTATAAGAATGAGTTTGCTAGTACCTGTATGGCTTTACACAATGATATTTTCCAGGCTCCAAAAAAGTCACTTTCCTCATTAATATTTCCCTTAAATCTAATGGCTTGCTAAAATCCTCAGTCCCTCGCCTTGGTAGCCCAGCCTCATGAACTAGTCCGCAACAGGTGTGAGAAGCAAATGAATGACAGAAATAAGCGACCCTGTTCCCTTCTACACCTTTCTTGATGCCGTTCGCTTAGTCTGAAGGTGGCATTTAAGACATGTTGTATACACTAGCCATTTTTTTATTTAGCTAGGGTACCTGCATAATTATTTTATAATGATGTTTATGAGAAAATGGTTGGGTTGAAATGTATTATAATGTTTTGCCAGCAGGTAACTGCATTAATGAAAAAATGTTTAAAAAAGTGTGCATTCAATGTATATCCTGAGTTTTTGCATTAAGTTGGCCAATTTTAACAAATACCCAAGCCTTTTAAAACTTCTTTTGTTAAAATTTTGTCAGAATGAACCAGTGAAAGTGTCAGTAGATGGTCAAATGAATACTTTTTCAGATTAATAAATTTGTATTGTTGTGTTTCATGGTAACCGTGATGTTGCCACAACTCCAGTTTCCAGGACTGAAATTCATAGAGGCTACCATACAAGACTTTTGAATCTCTTTCATGGGTCAATAACAAAATCGACTCAACTTTAAAACTAAATGTAAAACTTGATTGATGTTTGGATGAGTTTCTGTAATGCACAAAGATATTCTAGTTCTGGCCTGTCTGCGTTGAAATCTAACTTTCGCGGCGTAAGAACCAGACGGTAGACAAATTTAGAATTTCAGTGGCTAGAGTTGCCAGAATAGAGCACAGTTGGTTTAAAGACATGTACATTGATATGCAATTACAGCATAGGTCTTTGCAGCCAGAGCAGTTGAAAGAGGAGAATTTAAACTTCGACACGAGTTGAAATGTGACTTTTTTTCACGCTTATCAGAGGAGTTAGACAGGTTGGAGAAAAATCGTTGAAGTAAACAGTCACAAATGGCGACATCAGGAGAAGGTATGAGATGCTAAGTACGATTCTGGCACATTGTTTCATTGACTACTGATCCCGCTTGTAAGCCCTTCAATGGACTGGTGATATCTAGATCTTAACTCGAAGTCATTTAACGTCGTTTCATTCTGTCTAAACCAAAATTAACAAACACGGGCAATAGAATATCACTTCAACCGATACAGATATCTAAGGAAGAAAACATTCTATATTCTGGACAATCCGTTCAAACCATAAGGAATGTCAACGAAAGTCTTCAGCTGCTTGAAAATACCGCTGACTAGCACGCATGTTGATACGTTGATCACTTTGCAAGTTGTGAGAATATCGTCCTTCCGTTCCACATCTCGTTAACTCTTCGAGAGCCAGTGCATAGGAATTTTTAGAAGTTGAAGGGCTGGAAAAAAAACTGACTGGAACTCCGCTTTTAGGGTTGGCTATATAAATCTTTATTATATTTGATGGGGACCACTCGTTGTTGCAGGGGTGAACTTGTTGTTGAACTTTCAATGGGGCGAAACCACAACAAACCACAAAGAATCATGGGAGTTAAGCCTGAGAAAGAGACATTTTGTATTTGATTTTTACTGAACTTTCACACTTTTTAAGAACAAAAAGGTAGCTCAGCGTCTACAAATTTTATTCTAAGGCCGTTACACGTTTTATGCTTATCCACCACACTGAGACTAGGGGAATCTCACTGTTTACAAAATTATGCTGTTAATTCAAGCTAACTACAAACGATTAATTCAACTCAAATAGTGTCTAGCATCTAATTTTCCTCACAGTGTCAACCTAAATCAAAAATTAAGAACACGAAAATATAGTAACTGATCTCTAACTTAAGAAGCTCTTAACTGTTAAACCAATTCTCTTTGTCTGTTCCTTTGGAAATGCACAGAGAATAGTAAGGAGAAAAATGCATTCTAATGTCAAGCTGTGAAGTATGAGATGAGATGCTTGAGGGTAGTAATGTACTTCACTTGCTCTGGACGATAGAGCTAAACAAAAAATTCTACGTCACAGTTATATGGACGACAGAGCTAAATAACGAAATGCTACATCAGTTATACGGTCAATAACACGGGCTCAAGCGCTCGAAATTTGCGGCGAAAAATAGAGCTGGCATTTAAAACCAAGGCATTTTGTTGTCGTTGAAGGCATTTTTTGCTATTTCCAGTGTTTTTAAGAAGAAAATTAAATCTTGAAAATATCTAGGGGGTGTAAAAAGTTTTTTTAAGTTATTCTGTAAGTTATTCTGTAAAAAAAAGCAGCAAGGAAAAAACGGCTAGAATCTATAGCATAGCACATCGAACGTGCAAACGACTCAAAACTCGTTTTCCGCGCCAAAGCGTAGCGCATGCGCATACGTTATTTGACTCTTCGTTGTTCTGGACGTCTGAGTGAATTCTGACCTTAGTATTCTTTAGCTAGCGACTCTTGAGTGCAAAAATACGAGTAAATATGTTTTTTTTAGAGATAATCTTTCCCCTATCTTGAATCGCAAGGAAAACGAACGACTTACTGAGCGCGAATGCTCGACACAGACGCTCTTTAGAGTACTCACAAAGATATTTGACGTAATAAAGAAACGACTCAGTCTCTATAGTATATATGACTAAGGAGAGGCATTTCCTGCAGTCTTATCGCAACAATACTGCTCTGCTAGATCTTTACATTCCACCAATTCGTGACACAAGTTATCGTACAAAACTTTGTAAGTGGCTTCGGAGCCTACTTTTTGTTTCCAAGCTATTAACATTTTATAAGCCTTCTCTGCCAGCTCCTCATTGGCTTGATCAAGGTCATCTATTACAGCTTCATTGAATCCCAGGCGTCTACTTAATGTCTTCCATTTTCCTGCAAGTTCCCTGGCAAGATATTGCAACTTCTCATATGATGGTTTACCATCTTTAACCACATAGATATCTGAGGATAACAACGGAGGGAGAATAAAATTAAAAATTAAAAAAGGGGTGCTTCAAGGCTTTGGCGAATAGCGAACAGTTGTGGCGAAAGGCGAATTCTCATTTTTTGGTATCATTCAATACCGAATCGTCTGCCCTAGAGATTGTCAAGCTTGAGCGAGGGGACATTTGCAGCGGCAGGGAACCATTTTCCCAACCCATACATAAACCAAAAAAAAAAAAAAAAACGCTTAGAAAGTTTTCCAGACTCATTATCTATTTATGACCTCTTATTTTGCGTATGGCCCAACAAGCATCTTGAAAATAGAGGTCATTGACGTCTCCTAGCTATAGTCTCCAGCCGTTAATGCTAGAGTAGGTTATAGTTGTTCAAGATACACGGGTGTTGGATTGAGCCCACTCAGTTTTAATTCATTATTTTTTATTCTCTTATATAAGTGGGTAAAGAGGATTTCTAATAAATATAATGCCAGTCTTTCTGCATAAACAAATTTTACCATAAATAAACGCGTAACAACATGCAGACTTGAAAAAAATAAAATTAAAAAGGAAAATCCATCGCGCATTTCAATCTCGGTACCACCTGCAGATTGGCGTATCCTCTTCCTAGGAGCTGCAACAGGGCTGCATGACGATGATTCTGAATTTGGACGCTTTACAACTGAATGTTTCACACTTTGGGAGGAAATACCTGCATAATAATGGGGTTAATGAGATGGCTGGGTTAGGAACTAATGCAAGTCTTGTGGCACATATGGTTCGGAAACTTTGATGTGGTGATCCTGGACTGTGATCATCCGGGTAAGACTCAGCGTTCACAAATTAAAGTAGTAAGTTTTGACGATTTCTCCCATAAGTAACAATGAGCATTGACAAATTTGACGAAGGGGGTCGTTGTATGGAAACATATTCGATTCAAGATTTCATTCGAAAAGCAATAAGGCCATCATTTTAACGATATAGCCGAGGGAATAATTTTTTGGAGAATTACACTTCTCTATATCTTTCCCGAGCTATTTGGTGCTTTATTCGTTTTCAGCATCAAATTCCCTGCAAGGAGGGACGCACGCACCGTGGTCTGCATTGAGTTTACTGATATATAACAGAGACAATAAGCCATCACTGTTGAGCGTAAGGGGGGCACGGCCCGATTTATTGACACATGAAGTAAGGTAGGTTATTATGACTTTCCGTTGAGAACACGTGCTTTGTCATTTTCAAAACCCATAAGATGACTGGTCCTAAGTAAATTTTATTTATTCGAACAACATATTTTAGAACAAGATGACTGGTCTAGTAAATTGTATTTATTCGAACAACAACGAAACCTACAACAAAAACAACATCTTACCACTTCCTTCTTCAAAGTCAGAGGTGACAGGAATAGAAACCTAAATGGAGGAGGGAAAATTTACAATATTACGGGTGAGTATGAGGTGAATAGAAATGAGGAAATACAAAAAAATTACTAATTAATAAGAAAAAGGAAAAATAATTAAGAAAAAAGGCCGAGGCATAGAAAGCGACTTTAAAGCAACTAAAAAATAAAAGTAATACACAAAATCAAAAATTTGCAAGGCCCTGCATGTTCATTTACTGTTTCCTGTGGGCAGGATATTTCTTTACCTATTCGACATTCTTCAGTGTTTTTTTCTAGTGATTCGTCCTTAATAAGTTTCGTGCCGCCTTAAATGATCTCATTATCTTACTCGGAAAAAGGTTTACAACTCCTAGGAGAAGGAAACCTAGAAATAAAGAACTTGCTAAAATGGCTTCTTTTCATCTTAGTAAGTGGTCTGACAACAGGCAATGCACTTTGGAAGTAAGGTGAAATATTTTTGTTGAGAATTTGACTGTATTTTTACTTCCTAAGAGCGGTCGTAATTATTCCCATACAAACTAAAATTTTCGCCATGACTCTTATTTCGCAAGATGATCATCTCACAACTGGAGCTTGGGCTGCCTGTGGTTAAAGCATTGCTAATCCTTTTAATTCATTGTCATCTACTATAATAAGGTTGGCATCAATACTATATTAACTCTGGGCTAAAAGTGCATTTAATTAGCAAATCCACAAACCGCAAGATGTCACTTACTTGAGACGCTAACACCATGATAATGTTGCACAAAAGTTCCTGATTTTGGTCGCAAAACTTCACTACTGGAACACTCTCACTTCTTAGGCAAACTTCACCAGCTGTGTAATAAACTTCGTTTTCGTGGAATCTATTAAAAAAGAAATGAATTAAATGAGGTAAACCCAACGTACACCAGTCGAGTCTTCGTCTAGAATAGCACACGTTTTGAAATATTTTCTTGCAATCGAAAATGACAGCAAATTTGACGAGAGGCCTACTGAATATTTAAAATCGAGCATTTGAAGACAATTAAGTCCAAACAAAACCAACATGTATACCTCTATGGCTCTATTGATTGATAAGAAACCTAGAAAAGCCATGGCGAAAAATGGTTAACTGACAATTGAACAATGTACAATTTTACAATGGAATGAATAAATCATTTCTATGTAAAACTAGCATGAACGTATTTAGAAGTATTCAATTGAATCATATGTGCTTGATGGGCCAAAAATAAATTATATTATATTATACCTCACAAATTGTAAGGCATTTTTCTGGTCTGTGCCCTGGGGTATGATTGCCTTGGAAAGAGATACCAAAATTTTCTCCTCTCCATAGACTGGTTTAGAAGAGCTGCCTTCGTCTTTGTAGGGCACGACACACTCTGATATTTGCCGTTTTACATCATAATACAGTCTTTGAGGGTAGCAAAAAAGTTTGAGTCCAAAATGATCACGAACACCGGTTTCACACAAGCACGTAAAAAATCGGGCATGCTGAGGCCTAGACCTACTGCAAAGTTTCCCTAAAAACTCTGTGAGGCCTGAAGTAGATTGTAAAAGTGATCTGATCAACTTGATTGGACGGAATCTGCCAAAAAAGAAAAGTAAAACCAAATACAGCTCAAGCAACCCAACAGAAATGATTATCAGCCATTGCACACTAATCTTGAGTCTACGTACTCGAGTAATCATTTTATTTATTGAATCTATATTGAACTAAAAGAAATACATGCATGTATGACTGTACATTAAAATACTGTTAAATTTCCTCTACGTCTTGCGTATTTTTTTTAAATAAAGCCGACAATAAATACTTACCCAGAGAAATGCCTAACTTTGAATTGCGCTTTCCCATTTAGAAGACGTGGCGGTTCATCCAATTGATCTGTAATGTCTTTCCAGTCATGTGGTTCAACTAGAGACTCACAGTGTAATATCCTCAGTTCACCAGGACATAACTCTGCTGGCTCTTGTTTTCCTCTACAGAGGGTAAGAGGAATCCTTATTGTTACAGGCGCGATGAGAGTAACATTTTGAGAGCTTGAAATGTAAAGAACTGGACCGACAAGTCCTCCCTCTCCTTTTAGCTCACTGCTTAGGAATTCTTGTACCTGGATTTAAAAGCAAAACAAGTTATGTTGGACATACTCAACTACTCCCAGCATAAAGTTCATTTGCTTTACATTGTGAAAAGTGAATTTCAGGATGAAATTTCAAAACTACCTAAAACTATAGTACACAATGTAAATGTCCTCTCAAAGTTTTATGTAGCAATATAAGCATTGTTATGAAAAAATGTATATATTGGACTTACCATAAAAAGTCTGATTGGTCAGGAGCACTCAATCAATATACAATTAAGTGTGAAGTTATCATTATAATAACCCGATATCTGCAGCAGATATTGCAGGTATCATGTCGATTTCAAGCTCTGCCTAGTTTCCAAGCCCTGACTGTCTGTGAAGTATTCTTAGACTTTTGTAAATTTTGAAAGAAGTGTCTTCCTTTGCAGTTTGTTTAAAAGATGTATAATAAAACAATAATTTAATTTAGTTTATTTTGCATGATATCATAACTCATCAAACCCTATGTCTGTGTTACCTTTGGCTCCCACGGATAACTCAGACCTTGGTTTTGCTAATTCATCATGATATCATGCTTAACTTTATCCACTAACTGCATTAATTGTAAACTAATACAAAGCGCAAAACCAATTTACCTGACAGGAATGATTTCAATTCGACATTTATGTCTAAGCAAAACAAAAACAAATGTTCTGTTGGTTGCTTAGAATGAGTTCTCCAAAACCTAGTTTTTAAAAAGGGAATTGCCAGGATCCATGACTACATTTGGGGACAGTAATACCACAAATAATTTGAAGTTACCAAAACTAGTGATTAGAACATTACTACATGTATCTTCACAAACATGAAAGCACATGCACAACTGTCCTGTATTTACCTTAAAGTTGTTAATTTATATCTCTCTTTCCATCAATATTGCCACCAAATTCATGGAATGTATGGCAAGTAACTGAGGGTATAGGCTATACTCTTGTAACACCTTTGTGTTATCTCCTTGCTTTAGACAATCCCCTCACGCCAATCTTACAACTTTCAAAACTGGAAAATGAAAATCTTGCAGAACTCATGCATGTATAGAATTTTAAAGTTCCATGTACCTTGATTGTGACACAGAAATCTTGATTGACAGGAACACAACTCTGAGGAATTTGGACACTGACATCAGGAAATTTAGGCACAATACAGGTCAATTCCGGACCTACTGCAGTACCTCTTGAAAAGGTGAAAGACTTAGGACGCCAGATTGCAGCAAATGAAGAAACTGCTGATTTTGTACAAACAGCTTGTGCAAATGGGAAAAGCCAATGGGGAACTGTTGAAGTTTCTGCGTGAAAATAAAAATAATGGTTGAAATTGCTTCCTTCAGCCGTGTTTTGAAGTCTTCAAGTCTTTAATTCTTTTGCTTCAAAGAATTAATTCTGCAACAACATAATGATTAAGATAAATTTATATTATAATGATTAAAATGCATTGTAGACTTCTTGTAATATCTATGCCATAATTACGCGTACTGCTCGGATGCAACTACAGGTAAAATAAAAAAAATAAAAATTCTGTTGGATTTTTAATGCTCATGAAGTGGCAAGAAGTGTATTTTGACATTATGAGTGTAGTTCGGAGGTCATGCATTGCAGAGATCAACATCAGTATCTGAATCAGTGCACACCTACTCCTCCCCTAAGCCAATAATAGTCAACTGCTAAGTTTAGGTTACAAGCTCGGGTTAATTTTGGGTTATGAGAGGGGAGGTGCACAATTGCTCAGATACTGACATTGGTAACAGTGAAAAAAGGGAGCCTGAGAATATAATTCAATAAGTTATTCACACTTGCATTTCATAACAACATAATGGTACCTGATTCATGCCAAGTATTCTCTGTCTTCAATTCCTTCCATTCATTGTTCTCTTGGTCAATCAGTTGCTTGATAACCACCTCATACCCCTCCAAATTTGGGGCACTGTGCAACAAAGCTACTGTAAATCTTGTTCCTTCAACAATTTCCTTGTACTCCAGATCTGGTGGGCCATCATGAGATACTTCAATAACACTGCTAACCAATATCTCATCATTAGCAATGGGTGGGGAGAGGATTCTGGGGTTCCACAGTAAGCATCTACATGTAAATGGCAAGGGATGTTGGATAGCCTCACTGCAAAGTTGGATAGAGGCACCCGCTTCCCTTATGTGCCATGTGTCTTCCTTACCTCCGATTTTTCCTCTGAAATACAAAGGAAAATTAATCACCCAGCATTTTCAGAGCATTTTTGTGCAAGTGGAGTAAGCAATGACAAGGGTATTAAAATTGCAAGTAAGAAACTTGCTCAGATAATGACATTTAATCTCAAAACTAAATCTAATAACTGTTCTAGACCTTTTTGGTTAATTTTTTTTCAGTCAGTTATTAAAGTTATTACTTTTTGCAACCCGCGAAACAGGCCATGTGAGCATAACACGTCACGCAATACACCACGCTGGGTTTGTCCAGTTGATTTTGATGATCGCAAGGCAATGTTGAGTTTGTCGCTCAAAACAGTTGTGCTTTGTGGTCCATAACAGCGTAAAATCATTAATTATGGAAACAAATTTGCAGAAAGGAGGGCTAGTTAAATGCGTAACTGTAAGAATTCTTTCAGAGTGTGCGCGTGTTGTTTTGTAAATAACACTGTAACGTATTTTAACTTGCTTGCGTGTCCTTTTAATAGGCCTTAGGTAAGAAGAGAGGTTCATCGGTATATTTCATAACATATGATCTCGTGGTAATTCTGAAAAACACAAACAGTTCCATCGTATTGGCGTCATCTAATCCATTCATGATAAATATGCAGCGAAAAAGCATCGATCTCTCTCAAAATGGATCTTTTTGGACGTCGAAACAACCTTCGGCCATAAATTTCCTTACAACAACTTGCAATGTTTGCCCCGTGGCGATTCCAGAAATCATTGCGCAAACGCAAGCGACTCATTCGTTTCCACTTACTCGTGTATCTTTATCCTATCTGGATCTTGTTCCTGCTCACTTTCCAACTCTTCGCCGTCTTCTTGAATTGTTGGTTGTTGCACTTGCCCACTAGCCTCTGAAATCTCGCTGCCACTGCTACTATCGAGATCACCATCATCATCGGAAGGAATGTCAACTTCATTGTCATCATCATCGTCCTCACTGGACAGCTGTTCAGCTAAAAATATAAGACAGTTTTCTGTTTTAAAAAGATTTCACCAATGAAAAGCAAATCCTACTTTTCAAATAACAGTAAATCTTTCTTCGCCCACGCCCCGTGGAATTACAAACTTTACAAAACATCAACCATGTTCATAAATAACGAAAGACACTCGTGTTTTCTCGGACATATTGGTAAAAAAACGCCTGAAAGTACGCTTTTTAAAAAAAACCTGGTTAATCACGGTTTTTAATAAGCGTACTTGAAGGCGTTTTTAACTAATGTTATCGAGAGAACGCGTGTGTCTTTCGTTATTTAATATATGTTTGACTAATGGTCAAAGTTTTCCTTCATCAAATACCTTTTGCTCCTGTAGAAAGGAGTTCTTTCACACTTCCCATAAAGGTTCCGCTTTGTTTGGCTTCCTGGGTGAGCATTAAAACGCGAAAAAGTTCAGAGAATCGCCATTAATCCAAATCTAGGTAACGTAAAGGGCTAATAAAAAGCAAAATTTGTTGAGCCACTAAGGATAATGTAGCATGCTTGGGCAACTGAATGTAAGGACAACGCCTTTGGCAAGTCAGGGATACATTTTTTCCACAAGGAGACTAGCTGGGTAGATTTCGCGAGGTTGCTAAGTTCAAACAACTACTGGGTGGAAAACTAATGAAAGTTAACGATCGCAGTATCATACATACTAAACTGGCTAAAATCCGTTCATGTTGATGTCATACACTGATAGGTAAAAGAACTTTGTCATACCTTCAGCAAACTCTCATACTTCTGTTTCTTTTTCTCTTTCATCTGTGATGTAGCCATGTTTACAAGAGTTGTGAGCATGGCCATTCTGTCGTGCTCTGACATCTCTTCCTTATTTCTTTTCCACTTCTTTTCACAAAATCGAAAGGCTTCGTTACTGTACTTTTCTGCCTTACTTTTCTCGCGAAGCTGGGCACAGAGACCGCAGAGAGTTTCCAGAATTTTCTCTCTGTCGGTGTCTGGTAACTTTCTCGTGTCGGGTGAATTCCACGCGCCTTCATAAAACCATAGTGCTTCGTTTTGGTATCTCTTCTGTGTTTGCTGGTTGTCAAATTCACTAAGCTTTTTGGTTATTGAATCAATAACTTTCTTGTTGGTGAGAGAATATTCAAAACCTTGGAAGGCTCTTTCCTCGTCCCAGTCAGCGTAGGTAAAGTCGAATGCTTCTTGTCGAAACTGATCTTTCCTCTTTCCTTTGAGAAGGATCTCTTCGTAGCTCTCAACGATTCTGACCATCACCTCGCTGTGGTTTCCTTGACCCAGAGACTTCTCAATCTTTCATGCTTCCTCATAAAACTTTTCCGCTTCGTCAAAGTCTTCCAAGCTTCGACAAATCTCCGCCATTTGGAAAGCGCTTCACGCAGTCCAAGGGTGCATTCCTAAAATTAAATTCCAGATCTCGTAACCTTTCTATGCAGGTTGTTAGGCGTCTTCAAAGTTTCTCAACCAACAGTACGCGTTTGCAATGTTTCGATTGTACAGCGCAGTGTTCACCATGCCTGGGATTTTTAGTTTCTTAGCGAGCTCTAAGGCCTCTTTGTGGTATTCGATTGCCTTTTCAAATTGTTTCTTTCCTTCATAAACCGTCCTGATCTGTCCTTTGAAGAAGGGCATGTCAAAATGTTTCATTGAGCCAGAGAGCTGTTGTCTCATATCGTATGCTCTCATGTAGTACTATTTTGCCTCGTCATGTTCTCCTAGCTTGTTGTGGCAGTTTCAATTGCGTTTAAGCACCTTGAAGTGCTTGTGTGGCTTTGAAGTACATTTTCCATTATCTTCAGCGCCTTGTGCAAAATCCTCGGTGACTTTGCCATATTCCCTGCTCTGTAATACACTTCACCCTTAGTGTACAGGTAGGAACTCTTGGTCAACCTAAGGGAATCTGTGCTCTTAAGTTCCTTCTGTGCTTTGCTAAGCGACTCTTTTGCTCTCCTCGCGGCTGTCAATGCTCGCTGCCATCCTTCGAGATTAAGAACCACCAAAGTTTCTCGGCATCTTAGTTCTGCTCGAAGCAAGGAACCTAGAAAGACAACATGGGAAACAAGTTTTTCTCTCCCTATAAGTTTTATGCACATTTTTAACCGGATAGCGTTTTTATTTCTTGTTAGAGTGTCAATGATGGTAAACTTAAGGAATGTTTAAGGATAGTCTGAGCAGGGAAGCATCTTCAAACCTAGACCCAAGTGAGGAAGTTACCCTTTACAGGATAAAAAAATGATTCGTACATTGCGTCAAACGAGCATGTCGAGCTTCGTCAACAAAACTGAAAAAAAAAAAATACCGAATCTTAGTTCATATACCCTATATAACTTCATCGTGAATGATTCTTTGGGAGTTTAAACAGATTCAAACTAAGTAAGAAGGCTATAAGCTCCTTGCCGAGAAGGTCAGATTACACTCAGTAGCTTTGATCGTGTAGTCTGATCTTCCGGGTGAGCGAAGTAGAAGGACTGTTGTCGTCAGTGGTGACTGAAGTTTCAAAAGCCTGAACTAAAGTCATCACCAGAGTCAAGTAAATTATTGTTGTCAGTCGAGTTTAGTCAGTTTTATCTGTTAGTTTTTCCATCAGGTCGACAGCTAACTTACCCTACCGAAGTATCCAGAAAACTTTCTACGCAAACTAAGACTTTTCTTTCGTATGTAATAAAACTTTACCTTCCTTTCCATCGTCCCTGATCTTTTCGGCCCAGCAATTGAAAATGTTCTTTCTTGCTTTTTCGTCAAGCATGGCCTCGAAGAGATAGAAGATCATAACACTCTCATGGTGCTCTTTGGGGATAAGAAGATGGTCTGACTTGAAAGAAATATCCAAGGCAAGTTCAAAGTTTGGTTTGTTAAGATCAAAGTTATCGAAAGCATTGATGTAGTCTTTGTCCAAAAGTTTGGAAATCTCCACCATTTTGGACATGAAATACATGTGAAACCTGCCTTTTGCCTTCTCGTAAACTTTGACGAACATCTTTTGGTTATTGCCGATGCAAGAACACTTGATGAAGCTTTCTCTAAGGCCATAACTTCGTGATTCGCAATATTTGCCAACTTTGCGTGACGAAGTGTTGATCTTAATGTCAACA